GACCTTGACAAGGTACGTGAGAATTGTTTTATTACAAGACATCAAAATTTTGCATTAATATTTAAACTCAAAAATTGAAATTCAACATAGACTATTCTGTATCTGAAATGTCTGAAAGAAACATATGATTGATGTCCTTTACACCAAGTGTTAAAGCTTACAGTTGTGTAGCTTGCAAATGCATAATTTTACTCAACTCTATATCCACAGGTTTAAATTTTTAATAATCATCATGTTCAACAAGTAAAAAGTAGGAATGTTTCAGGGTGTGAGCGAGATCACACCAGACATGTCTAAGGTTTATTAAGGAGTCTATTAACCAAGCTTGGTGATAATAGAGTTTACTAGAAACAACAAATCACAAGTCCATGTGGCAATCCAATCAATCATAATCCAACCAAACATAATCCCAAAAAAAACAAATGGTCATTATCTTTAAATCCATCTGTTAAGCTGAAGACCTATGTCCCAGCTTCCCCAACAATGTAAGCTATCCTAAGAGACATGCAATGAATCATATGGACACACTTACAAAGCTGCATTCACCTTTCCCTGACTTCTCTGCCACATTCCACTACTGCCAGACCTCACCTCTCCTGGAACTCCTGATAGTACACAAACCAGAAACAACATTATTACATCCATCGTCCCATCTAAGCAGTACACGTTATCCCATGCTCAGGGGATTACCTGTCCTTGGTCAGCCAAGAGTGGAGGTGCCAGAGTAATGGAAGCTCCCCGTCAGAAAGAGAGCAAGCTCCTGCTTTACAGACCTTTTAAAGGGGCTTGTGAGGGGAGTGGCTACACAACACAATACCGTCCCCTCTCAGATGATAAGTGAGTCACAGGTGGGCAGGAGCGAACCCTAAGTAGTGGGGGCAAACTGAGGATGGAATTAACAATCCATTGCTGTTAGGATCTACCTTCAGGATAGAGGGTAGGGGACACAGCCACATTTAATTTGCCCACTGTCAATGGGTGCTGGCTATCACTGGCTGCACCCCATTGCTTTTTCCTCTTGTTATCAAGTGTTATCTTGACATTTATGATCAAATTTCTCCAGTCTTCTGGCCTTACTGATTTTGGTAATCTTTACAATTCAGTTTACTAACACATAACTTCAATATAGTCCATCTTCTTATCTCTATTTCAACATTGTTTATTTCTGAGGTTAATTTTTGCTCCACCAATGGCCAAGGTGAAGCATTAATGAATAATTGAAAGCTGCATGTTCACAGCTTTTCAGAAGAGCTGGACAAAGTCATTCTCATTTTGAACACTTTGTTCTTCCTTTCAAAAAGATATTGGGTTGCTAAATCAGGATTGTGGTGCAGCAAGTTAATCTGTAAACTGTTTCTTGCAACACCGCAGCCCACATTGGTGTCTGGTGGCGTCTCAACTACTCCACTTGATCCAGCTCCCTACTAATGCACCCAGAAAACAACAGAATATGGCCCATGCACTTGAACCAGATCTGGAGGTTATATTTTGATCCTTTTGCTGGTGGTGCTTGTCTTCTGACCATCATTTCAAACATTGCTGCTGCTTATCTACTCATGCATGTTTGAGGCAGCAAGAGAGGACATTTGACTTCTCTCTTAAATGTTGCATATCCTATTACATTATCATGTCAGTTTTTTCTCAAATCGCGCATTAGTTTCAGAATCAGATAGAGAAACACAGAGCACAGGCAGTGATTAATGGAGAGAAGCCTCATAGTTTTCTTATTTTACTATTTTGTGTAAAAACAAACAAACAAACAAACAAACAACAACAAAAAAAAACAGGAAAGAAGTATGCATTCCAGGGTAGAATCAAGTGCACTTCCTGGGTGTGAATGCCAGCTCCACTTTTGACATCAGCATCCTTAGAACGTGCACCCTGGGAGACAGCAGGTCATGGCTACAATCCTGAGATCCCTGCCCCTTATGTGGGGGACAAGGAATGAGTTCTATAGGAACTGGGCTTCAATCTATCCCAGCATCACCTGTTGCCAGCCTTTGGAGAATTAAACCCAGGATGGGAGATGCCATCTTTCTCTTTCTCTCTCTCTCTCTTTCTCTCTCTCTCAGATCAATACAAACAAGTAAATATACTTACTCCCAAGCCTATACCCTTTGGGGGAGTTCAACAACAGACAGCATGCCGTAAGTGATCTGTAGTGCAGAATTTCCAGGGTGCCATGCTGTCAAGCAGAAGGTGTGTTTCTCTTCACTGCTTTCTTCCCGTGGCCCAGTTGTTAGGACAGCACTCACACAGAGTGCTGTTCCCCAAACACAGGATTTTATTTCCCATCTGAGGCTTTATGAGAAGTACCAAAAACATAAACTTTTCTCAGGGTTTGATACCATCTAAACTTCTGTACTGGTTAATTCAAAATGTCAAGTTGACTGAATAAAGGAATACTCAATAACTTGCTAGAGCATTTATTTTGGAATTGTCCGTGAGCGTGTCTCCAGAGATCGCTGTGTCTGCCAACCTCCCTCCTGAGGCCTTAGGATTTGGACGTGAGCCACATCACACTCTCCCAGGGTCTCCTGCTGGCAGATGGTCTGTCCAGAGACTTAGCTTCCATGCTCAAATGAGCCAATTTTCGAGGTAAACCTCTCTGTCTTTATCTCATCTCATCAACTCACCCTACCCTAACGTATCCTATTGGTTCTGTCTCTCAGGACTTCAACACAAACTCCCATCTTTTGGTTTGAGATGGGCATGATGCAAGAGAGGAGATACTGTTCCACCTAAGACAATCTCTTCAGAACTGACCTCATGACTACTCTACTCCTTAACACAATCAAATTGTGTTAGCATGGCTGAGACAACAAAAATTTCAGGTTGAAGAAATGAACACTATGGAGAAGGAAAAAGTTTTTCTCTCTTGGAGGAGAGTACAAAATTTTTTTGAACTTTTTGATAAATTATTGACATTAATTCCATTCGAGATTAGGATTATTCCTGTGTCCATTTTTGTGCTGCTAACAATTGACCACAAGTGAGGACTAAAATTAATACCATACATACAGTTTAGGGAGGCAACTGTGTGCTTCCCTATACCTGCAACTATTGTAAGTACTCAAATGGTCATTTGAAGGCTTTAAAGAAGATTATTAATACAAACATTCATGGATTTCCATAATTATTTCACCTCTGGTTGCCACAAAAGAGCATATCCAATGCTGAATTCCAGCCCTATTCTCATTAGCATATACAAAATTTGTCCTTTACTTGATTTATGTGATATTATTATTTTAATTCTACTAATGTAAATATTATACAGTTGTTGAATTTTTAAGAATATTGTCACACAAGTCAGAATTCTAGATTAAACTTTGCTATCTTCCTCTTTGTATTAAGGGTTTTTTGTGTGTGTGATTTTGTTTCTCCTTCTCTACAATGATAAAAATAAAACATAAAAGGTTAGAATTAGTATATAAATTTGTTTCAGTATTAAAAGATGTAATTTCTGTAAATTGCTCTGAAAAGTGTCTGACACAAGTTCAGTAATTTTAATAATCTATTTTTTGTTGCTCTTTTTACAAGTTACTCAAAAATCTTTTTAAAAGAACTATAAAAATTCAATAAATAAAAAGAAATTAGCACTTCTAATGCATTGCAAATCATGGTAAGTGGTATAGGGCTTTATGTAGAAATGCATTCCTTAAAACTGAAAATTCAGCTGGATATGTAAAATGACATTCATTAAAGTACAAATAATGGTACAGTAATTGCATTAAATTATGACAACTGGTAGAAGTTATCTAAAGTAGCAAGACAATGGCAATTATAGAGGAACTGAATCTTACATATTGCGAATTGCCCCAATTATACTGCAATAGGGGATGACTATAATGACATAAAAATGAATATGTGGGCTGGCACGATGGCTCAATTGGCTAATCCTTTACCTACATCCACCAGCATCCTATATGGACACTGTCATGTCCTGGCTGCTTCACTTCCCATTCAGCTCCCTGCTTATGCCCTGGGAAAGTAATAAGGGTTGGTCCAAAGCCTTGGGCCCCACATCCACCTGAGAGACCTGGGAAGGACGGGGAGCTTATGGCTCCTGGCTTCTGATTTGCTCAGCTCTGGCTGTTACAGCTATTAGAGGAGTAAACAAGCAGATAGAAAACCTTCTCTCTGTCTCCCCTTCTCTCCATAAGCACCTTTCTAATAAAAATAAAATAAATGCAACTTTAAAATGAATATGAAATCGTAATTATGTCAGAATAAATGTGAAGAGATACCAAATGTTACTTATGGCAGCAAGAGAATGGTGATTCTGGGAGATTTTAACTGAATTTCATGTGTTGGTGTGATGTAGAGCTAGACTCAAAGTATCAGGGATGATTCAAGCCATGGTATTGAATCTACTTTGAATGAAATGAATGGATGCAGAGTGGAGCATTCCCTCCAATTACAATTTGGAGAAGAACAGAAGCCCAAAGTTGTTAGATAAAAACCTGGGGACCAATAAAAATCTCTTAGGAAAAGAGTGACATGGTTGAAATAATGCTTTAGAAAGACAAGTCTGAATGCTCAAAGAATGAATGCTGAGGAGAACAAGGAAGTCATATAGAACTTTTAAATTTTATTTTTGACTTAATAGTACAATTCTATAGGGTTTGGGATTTTCTTTACCCCTTCCCCAAATTTCCTCCCCTCAACTGATTTCTCCATATTATTATAATAGTAGAGTCCTTCTTAAGCAGTCACAAGTTCATCATTCTGTTATTTAAGTGTGTCCTAACATTGCTGGCACAGACAATGACAGATATTCACTCCAGCACCCTATTGTCAAGCTACATCCAACAGTTTCATTGAGAGTCTATCTTTGATTTGGAAGGAGAGATGCATACAGCATTGTATCTTCACCTCTGGATATGATAGTCTCTATTATACTGCTACTATACATTCCCTTAAATGAGAAGCCACAAAACAAAATCAACAACAGAAATAAAATGAAAAAACGAAAGATTTACAGCACCATGGAGTTAGGTAACATGCTACTGAATAACCAAAAAAATTGCATGTCATCTTTATGCAGGGGCCATGCTAATCTTCTCTGTATGGTTCCAATTTTAGTATGTGTACTGCCGAAGCAAGCACAAGATCATATAGAATTTTAAAGATATATTATTATATACAGTTTGAAGTGAAGGTGTTCTAATTCAGGATTATCACGATATTAGTAAAAAAAAAAAAGAAAGAAAGAAAGGAAGGAAGGAAGAAAGAAAGAAAGAAAGAAAGAAAGAAAGAAAGAAAGAAAGAAAGAAAGAAAGAAAGAAAGAAAGAAAGAAAGAAAGAAAGAAAGAAAGAAAGAAAGAAAGAAAATAATATGAGCCTGGAGATTATTCTGAAGTAGTAGGTTAGAAATATTACTTTAGAAAAAGTCACAATAAATTTATAACTAAGAATCCAGTAAGTGCTCTTGTCATTAGCCTATGCAGATGTGTGTGTGTGTGTGTGTGTGTGTGTGTGTGTGTGTGTGTGTGTGCATGAGTACATGTTTGTGCACCTTCGATGAGAAGGAGGCAAAGAACAAGGAACTAGACCTGTGTGATTATTGACTGAAAGGGCAGGCACATAAGAATGACAATTTTTATCTTTCCTATGCTTTTGTTTCATTGCTATGTTCCCTTAAAGAGAGCGACTTTTTTTTGTTTTTAATACCCTACAGAAGTTTACATTCTATTGTTCCTAGAAGGGGAAGTGAAAAACAAATGTACAAAATTATTAGTTCTCTACCCAAGCAAGGAATGAAAATAAATATTCTTGTCTTGTTCCTGACCACAAGGGGAAACATTGACATTGACAGAGTATTAAGCTGTCTGTGAGTTCCTCATATAGGAACTTTATTGCACACATGTTGATATTTTATATATTTATTTGTTCAGATCTTTTGTTATGAAAATATGGAATTTTATCAAATGTACTCTTGTCGCCCATTGAAATTATCATATGATTTTTAAATACTACATTTGATAGATCATATTATTGCTTTGAATATTTGAACCATGCTTATATTCCTAGGATAAGTTTTACAAGATTATTTTGCAAGAACCTTTTCTTATGTTTTTGAAGTCAGTTTGCTAATATATTTTTGAGTTTATGGTTTTTTTTTTAAGATTTATTTATTTTTATTAGAAAGTCAGATATACAGAGAGGAGGAGAGACAGAGAGGAAGATCTTCTGCCCAATGGTTCACTCCCCAAGTTGTCACAACCGCTGAAGCTGAGCCAATCGGAAGCCAGCAACCTCTTCTGGGTCTCCCACATGGGTGCAGGGTCCCAAGGCTTTTGGCTGTCCTCAACTGCTTTCCCAGGCCACAAGCAGGGAACTGGAGGGAAGTGGGGCTGCCGGGATTAGAACCGGTGCCCATATGGGATCCTGGGTGTGCAAGGCAAGGACTTTAACCACTATACTATCACTCCAGGCCCGAGTTTATGTTTACTAGGATTACTAATCTCTAACTTTCTTTTCTTGTAATAGCCTTATCTAGTTCTCATGCAAGAGTAATGCTGGTGTCATAAACTAAATTTAGAAGTGATCTTCTTAGTTCAGGTTTTTTTTCTTTTTTTTTTTTTTTCCAAAAATGTGAGGAAAAAGGAGATAGATTCTTCAAATTTGGGATAAAATTCACCTGTCAAGATTATTGACCATGGATGTTTCTTTGTAGGAGATTTCTGATCACTATCTCCATCTCTTGCTACTGTTCTGATGAGATTTTCTGATTCTTCTAAGATTCAATCTTGTCTCTAGGAGTGTATTTGTTTCTTTGATGTTGTCTAATTTTTTAGCACAAAATTGTTCATAGCAATGTTTGTCGATGCTTGTATTTCCAGAATATCAATTATAATTTTTGTTGTTTTAGTTTTATTCATTTGGCCTCTCTCTTTTACGTGTTATAATAACTAAAGGTTTACTGATTTGGTTATCTTTTAAGAATTCTTTCTCCATTTTGTCTATCTACTGTTTCTTTAGTCTCAGTTTTAATTTGCATTATTTCCTTTCTACTGCTAGCTTTGCTTTTTGTTTCTTCCTCTTTTTTAGTTCTTTAGAATTTAAAGTTAGATTAGGAGCTTTTCCTTTTAGTTTTTAACTTTGGCGTTCAGAAACTTCCCTCTTAAAACTGATTTTTTGCATTCCATAAATTTTGGCATGTTGTGTTCCTGTTTTTCTGACAGAGAAAATGTATGGCCCTCAGGGGTCTCAGAACTTGGTACATGGGAGCACTGTTGATTGAATAAAGACACAGGGTCTACAGTGTATGAATCCAAGGTGTAAATGTTCATTGCAACAAGTTTTTATACTATGTTTTTCATGCAAAGCCAGGATATCTGAACAATGCTATATCATCACAAAACAATCTGCCATACACATGAGCTTTCACCAGGTTGTTTTACAGAACACATTTTAGTGTTTCTTCTCACAAACATTAATCGTTACAGGTCAACAGGTGAAGGCTGCGTTCCAGGAGCTGGGATGGAATGCAGGCAACAGAGAAAACCGTCCCAAGAGTGTAGCTTACCAGAGTCTCTCATAGGATGTGTTTGCAGGCATACATTACTGAGTTATTACCGGGTCCAGGGAGGGGACGGGGGGCTCCTCTGGGGTTGCTCAGGTACCTGCTGATCCTTGTCCCATCGTCATCCCAGCCTTGTTACAAAAATGAATTACTGCTCGGAGACAGGAGTAGGGACAACAAAACAAAAGGTCATTGGAATATATTTCAGAGAAGCAGTGACCCAGGACACAGAGCACATGACAATCGAACATCTTGGTGTGGCACTTTTGTCCCTGAAGTAGATGGTTGCTGACTCTTGATGTGGCAGTGAGGTTCACAATTGGGATCGCTGTCCATGTGGCCTCAAGCCAGACTTTTCTAGTTTGACTGAGTTCTCATTTTATCAGTATACTTACCCACAAGTTTATCCTGGCAGACAACAGAGTTCCTGATCCCTCCCCTGCATAAGGGTCTTCTGGCTCCTGTCCATTTGCTCATGTCTACCTAGCTACCTCCCTTCATGAAGAGTTAAATATTTCTTTTTCTGGTTTTAGCAGGCAATATATTGTTTAATGTTTATACTTGTATATTGCTTATAATTGTGTGGGTAGTCACAACACATATAAAATGACCTGATCCATAAAATGCTGCCAGCCTTTTTCACATGGATCAGGATTCTGAGTGAGGTCCATTGTCACTTAGAACTCACAAACACTTGAATCTGATAGTCTGTGAAACCAGCAAATATGATGACTGGAAAATCAAAGTGCAGGCTCCTGAAGGCTTTAGAGGAAAGTGAGCTGAATGCACGTGTTCTTTTTTGGAAATAGGTCGTATGTGAACCCTGATGGAGAGTGTGCTCTTGATTGCAATAATCGTGTGACTGCAGTGTCCTGAACAGGTGGCATCTGTCCCATCAAGGAAGCATTAGTCTGTGTTTGAAGGCAGGTACTTCATGAAGTTACTGACTGCAGTGTTTATCATGTCTACATCAAGTATGTTCAAAATCATAAATAGATTTTGTGACCAGTGACTCACATTTCTAGTACACCTGCTCCTAACAGCCAACTCTCTTTCAGCATATATCTATGATCACATGGGACATTCCCTCCTTGCAGCTTCTGAGATAAAAGATACTGGGTCAAGTTTACAGAGGTGCTGCATGTAATATTGGCAGCAGCAAGAAATGGACGAGACTATTGTCATACAACTACGACTCAAAGGCACTCCCTAAAGATCACTGAACTAGAAAAAATACTCCTAATGGGCATAAACTTAAGTAACATGTCTTACTGTTCTCTTGTTTGAAATTCAGCTCAAGGGGCTTGTGTGTGATTTCACAGGTTAAGCCTTCCCCTGAAGTGCCAGCATATATTGTATGAGTGCTAGTTTGTGTCCTGGCTTCTCCACTTCCAGTCCTGCTCCCTGCTAATCTGCCTGGCAAAGCATCAAAAGATGGACCTCTCCATTCAGATGGTAGATCCTAGAGAAGTTCCAGGCTCCTAGCTTTCAACTGCCCCAGCTCTGGCCATTGCAGCTGGTTATGCATAGGACCATAGAGTTCCCTATCAAGGTTCTGATGAACTAAAACACTTCATTTCTTAATGATATCTTTTTTTCTTACCAAAAAAACTTATTGTAAATTGAAAATCATTGTTTTAGAATAAAATTGAAATTGAAACATTTTTATGGTTCTATTCAAAGGATTCACATAAAGAAAAAATAAGACCTCCTTAATGTATTTTAAGTCCAATGAAGCTTAAATTAAAAAAATTATTTTTATTTATTTATTTTTTTACATCCAGAGCCTTCATAGTCCTCCACGGACTTTGACTCCGGAACCTGGAAGTCTCAATAATTGACATATTTTTCTCTGCTCTCCAGGGGACACTGTCCCAAAAGGTGAGAGAAATCTCAATGCTTCAATTACTTGGAAAAGTTACACGGTTATACCTAAACCAAAGCCCATTGGGTAACTGCTATCGATATTTCGGCAAATTGTGAGCAATTCCAGATGGCTCGGGGCTTCCACTTGCACATGCATGGCCATCTTTGCTCCCTCCTTAAAGCGCACAAACATCTGAGAATGCAGGGTAGTGAATGTCCTGTGGATTGATGGCTCAGGTTCCAGTTACGTAACTATGGAGTGTAATTCCTGGGGTTGTTTTAGCATTGGCAGAACATCAGTTAGATAATTTACTGCAATTCTCTTCTGACAAGAACATTTTGAATGCTTCAAGAGATCTATTGCTCAAGGAAAAGGCAATTTTTAAAATAGAGCAATGGAAACATAGATTCTGTTTCTCTAAGGGAAGACTCTAAAACTGGGGTAATGAATGTGTATGGAGAAAGAGGCTTATTTTACCACAAAATGGCAACTTTTCAGTATTTGTGGTCTTGACAGTAAGTGTTTAACTTTATTCTTATCATTTCCAGACTTAAAAGACTAAAAAGAGGAAACCCCTGGAATTTGCTGCTTCATTTTAAGAGACTCTGATAAAATTTCAAAGAGCAAAAGGTAAAGATAACTCTTAGAGGAAGAATAATAATTCTGAATGACTGTTTGCTTGTGGACTGCCCTGGGAAGAACTCTGGCTTCCAGGTATAAGCATATTCAGTCACAACTATATTAATATTTATGACATTATGACTGTTCTAGCATTTCTGACAGATTATTAACCATTTTTCTCTCATTCCACCTAATAAATATATCATAATTAATAGTCATTTTGCAGATGTTAAGCATTATACAGACAACAAATGCACAAGAAATTTTGCCAAAGAATGATTAATAAATATTTAATAGTAATGCCAGACTATTATGACATTGGAATATACATGATAGGAATGAATCCTGAATGTTAAAATAATGTAAGTCATTGCTAGGATGTGAAATTAACAAAATACATTTGTCAATGTAAAAATTTTCAAAAATAATGTTACATGATTGATTCTGGCTGTCTTTCACACTGCTAGATCTCCACAAACCCTAAGAATGATCTAATGTAAAATTTTGGTCCTTTGAAATAGAACTATTTGCATATTTATTTTTAATGGGGTCGGTGAATACCTTATTCTCTGCATTAAAAAAGAAATCTTATGTAATGGTAACACATAGCATGCAATTTCCCCCTTAGTCATATTTGTTTTCCTCAAACAAAATATTACAGTTTCCACAGATATTTTTTATATTGTTTCTGGACTTTTAACAGTTTTTCTGATTAATAGAAATTTAAGTTTATATAAGCTTATCCAACAAAGCCCACATATGTCATTATTTTTCAACTTAAACAGGACTGCTGTGAATTGCAACATCATACCGAAATGTAATAAAAAGAATAATGACAAACACTTGTTGAATATTTACTGGGCCATAATGGTGCCCTTCGATTTATGTTACATTGTTCATTTTGTATCTGCAAAAATCTTTGAGGATTGCAGAATTCTTGTCTCTCTTCTAACTACGGGGATGCTATTGTATAGAGAGTACAAGAAATTTGTCCTAGATCCCATTGAGAAAGACAAAGAAGCTGAACTAGACCCTAACTCAAATCTATCTGACACTGAAAGTAGTGCTAACTACAGTGGGACTGCACAGGCTCCATGCTTATCACTGATTGCCCCTGCAGCAATTAAAGTCCACTCACAGGATGTTATACTGGCAATATTTGTAGAAGTTATGTATAATCTTTTTTTTAAAGATTTATTTATTTTTATTGCAAAGTCCAATATACAGAGAGGAGGAGAGACAGAGAGGAAGATCTCCCGTCCAATGATTCACTCCCCAAGTAACCACAATGGCTGATACTGTGCCAATCTGAAGCCAGGAACCAGGAACTTCCTCCAGGTCTCCCACACGGGTATAGGAACCCAAGGCTTTGGGCTGCCCTTGACTGCTTTCCCAGGCCACAGGCAGGGAGCTGAATGGGAAGTGGAGCTGCCGGGATTAGAACCGGCGACCATATGGGATCCCGGTTCGTTCAAGGTGAGGACTTTAGCTGCTAAGCCACGGTGCCAGGCCCAGTTATACATAATCTTCAGGAACTTATTTTCACATGAATATGTGATGATAGTACTTGTGAAATGGAAGAGATTTTTGACCCAGGTTGAGAGGTAGAAAATCTATTTTGATGAAAAGAAATTTTAACTTTTTTTCTGAGGTATGAGGGGATGTTGAAAAAGTTCTTGAGAAGTACACATATATTTTTTAAAAAGCCATATATGGGTTACAAATATTTGTTTTCCCCTGCCAAAATACATCCTTCCATTCATTTTCTATGACAGGTGCAAGTCTGTTAAAAGAACAGGAAGCCTCCCTATTCAAATGATTACATAGTGCAAGAAGATGATTTGTCTCTCTGCATTCAAAACTGTGAAATATAGATAAACTTTTAAAAAGATCATTAAGAACAAAGATTTGAGAGCCAAGTTTGTTGGCTTTAAATTCCTCTTATAACTACAAAAGTGAATTTCTTTTTTTTTTAAGATTTATTTATTTATTGGAAAGTCAGATATACAGAAAGGAGGAGAGTCAGAGAGGAAGATCTTCCATCCACTGATTCGCTCCCCAAGTGAGCGCAATGGCCGATGCTATGCCCATCCCAAGCCAGGATCCAGGAACTTCTTCCAGGTCACTCCTGCGGGTGCAGGAACCCAAGGCTTTGGGCTGCTTTCCCAGACCTCAAGCAGGGAGCTGGAGGAAGTAGAGCTGCCGGGATTAGAACCAGCGCCCATATGGGATCCTGGCACGTTCAAGGCGAGGACTTTAGCTGCTAGGCCATGCCGCTGGGCCCTACAATAATGAATTTCAACAGATTTCATTTCTCTAAACCTCAGTTTGCTCATGTGAAACCTGGGAAAGGAAAGCATGTATCTCACAGCATTATGGTATGGTTTAAACGAGGTCCCATGAAAGCCCTCAGAAATGTGTCTGGCATATTAAGTAATGCCACACAAATGTTTACTATTATTCTAAGTTCCTGTACAACATCATGCACAGTTCCAAGAGAAGAGGAAAAATGTTAATATGAGGATATGTCAATTCATGGAAAAGTGGAATTAAAGATAAATTATGGTGCAATAAATTTTTTGAAATCTGTGCGTGATTTTTACAATGTATATTTTCCATTAATGTAGAGAAGATTTTTCACACAAGAAGTTAAAATTATTTGAGCGAGCTAAGACATAAATCAATGATGACCATCAAAATTGTTTTCAGTGTAAGTGAGAGTATAGTCTTGAAGACTCTTTTATGCATCTTTAGTTAGGTTTCCATTTTAAAGAAGCTATTCTGTCTAGATTGTCTCTATGCATCTTATTAAAAAATAAAAAAGCACAGGAAAGAGAAAAATTTTCCGCAGGGAAGTTTTTATGGCCTATCTTGAAGAGATTCTGGAAAGTTAAATACTAATTTTTTTGTGTGTCTGATGGCACACACATTTTATCTTAGGGGTTATATGACTTCCTTCAGAATTCAAATTTTCCATGATTCACAAGAGTTAATTGCACATATTAAATATTAAACTTAGTCAATTTCTTTATATCTATTGGTACTCTACATTAAGCCCTAATGTTTTTCTCATCTTCGATACCAAAATCCCCATTATCTCTAATGCCAGACTAGCTAAATTACTTCCTGAATGCCATTTATCAAATGTTGTACCCTCTTACAGTCACTGGCTTTTGATATTAAATTTACTAGGCAAACTATTAGGAAAATAGAGAGAAAAGTGATACCTGGACTTGCGCAAGTCATCTTAGTAGACAGCTTACAGGCAAAAAACTTTGCCACTTGTAAGAATTAGGAAATAACAAGCATTTGCATCAATCAATTGTTTCAATTTGTCATTGCATTTCCATAAGGCTGAAATTAATGATTATAAAGTAATCTGATAAGCCCTACTAACGTCAGAGGTTGTTTGTAAAACTGGAAATGAAGGCAGGAGTTCATTTGTTCATTTTGCCCTGTGCCTCTCAGCAGGTGCCTGCCATGGGTGACAGGGGAACGAGCAATCACTCAGGAATGACCGACTTCATTCTTGTAGGCTTCAGGGTCCACCCAGAGCTCCACCTTCTCCTCTTCCTGATTTTTCTGCTTGTCTATGCCATTATCCTGCTAGGGAATGTTGGGATGATGGCCATTATTGTGACTGACCCCCGGCTGAACACACCAATGTATTTCTTCCTAGGCAATCTCTCCTTCATTGATCTCTTCTATTCGTCTGTCATTGCACCCAAGGCCATGACCAACTTCTGGTCTGAAAGCAAGTCCATCTCCTTTGCAGGCTGTGTGGCCCAGTTCTTTCTCTTTGCACTCTTCATTGTGACGGAAGGCTTCCTCCTGGCAGCCATGGCTTATGACCGCTTCATTGCCATTTGCAACCCTCTCCTCTACTCTGTCCAGATGTCCACACGTCTCTGCGCTCAGCTGGTGGCTGGTTGCTATGTTTGTGGCTGTTTCACCTCAGTTCTTCAGACCAGCATGACCTTCAGTTTATCGTTCTGTGCTTCTCGGGCTATTGACCACTTCTACTGTGATGCTCGTCCACTGCAGAGGCTGTCCTGTTCTAACCTCTTTATTCATAAAGTGATATCTTTTTCTTTATCCGGTATCATTATCTTGCCTACCGTCACAGTCATTATCGTTTCCTACGTGTACATTGCGTCCACAGTTCTAAAGATACGCTCCACCGAGGGCCGGAAGAAAGCCTTCTCCACCTGCAGCTCTCACCTGGGGGTCGTGGGTGTGCTGTACGGTGCCGTCTTCTTTATGTACCTCACACCTGACAGGTTTCCTGAGCTGAGTAAAGTGGCCTCCTTGTGTTACTCCCTCGTCACTCCCATGCTGAATCCTCTGATTTACTCCCTGAGAAACAAAGATGTCAAAGAGGCTCTAAGAAAACTTGTAGAGAAGAAAAATGCTCTGTTTTGATTATTATTTCTCTTCTGCCAATGGTATTGTGGCTGTTTGCTTGGGTTCTCTCATGGCCATTCGTTGAAATTCTCATGAAGATAATTTAAAAAATGCAAGTAATTGGTTTTTCTCTGTGTTGTTTCCTTTCCCTGTATTACTTTGTACGTCATTTCAGACGTCCTTAATCCCAAAAGTATTGTGATGATGAATTCTCCCGCTCATCTCCAGTAACACTTTACTTCACAAAATTCATTTGTATGGCATATTGTTGAGTAATATTTTGAAATTTCATTGCACTTTTTAAAATATATTTTATAATGTTTATGATTCTGATTTCTCTCCCTTCTGCACATAATCATGAATCACTGACAAAAAGCCCAGTTGGGTTTAATTGTTTAATTATTTAATTTAAAAATATTATTTCATAGGCAGAGGCACAGAGGGAGAGAAATCTTCTATTGTTTCGCTTCCCCTACTGTCTGGGATAGGCAGTGATTGACTGATCTGCAGTCAGGACTCTAACCAGGCATTCCAACAAGGGATGCAGGATTTCAATCAGTCATTTAACCAATGAGCCAAATGTTAGCCTCCATTTTATATTTTAGGAAAATGTGTTTTATAACTTTATAACTGATCTCATTAACATCTTAAATGGTTATTGTGTTTTTATCTTGGTAATTTTATCTGTTATATAGAGACTATCTAATAGAAAAGAAATTTGTCACCTTTTTTTTTTAAAGATTTGTTTTTATTATTTTTTATTGGAAAGGCGGATATACAGAGAGGAGAGTCAGAGAGGAAGGTCTTCCGTCCGATGATTCACTCCCCAAGTGAGCGCAATGGGCCGATCCTATGCCGATCCGAAGCCAGGATCCAGGAACTTGTTCCAAGTATCCCACATGGGTGCAGGCTCCCAAAGCTTTGGGCCGTCCTGGACTGCTCTCCCAGGCCACAGGCAGGGAGCTGGAAGGGAAGCGGGGCTGCCAGGATAGAACCGGCGCCCATATGGGATCCCGGGCGTGCAAGGCGAGGACCTTAACCACTTGCGCCACCGCGCCGGGCCCATGTCACCTTCTGTACATACACTCACATGGAAAATTATGTTTTGTCAACCTAAACATTGTGTTCCAGGCCCTGCTAGCTGCTGGATCTTAATTAAAAAACTAAAGGTACGGCCTGGCACAATAGCCTAGCAGCTAAAGTCCTCGCCTTGAATGCACCGGGATCTCATATGGGCACCAGTTCTAAACCCGGCAGCTCCATTTCCCATCCAGCTCCCTGCTTGTGGCCTGGGAAAGCAGTTGAAGACAACCCAAAGCCCTGAGACCCTGCACCTGTGTGGGAGACCTGGAGAAAGTTCCTGACTCCTGGCTTTGGATTGGCTCAGCTCTGGTTGTTGTGGTTGCTTGGGGAGTGAATCAGTGGATGGAAGATCTTCCTCTCTGTCTTTCCTCCTCTCTGAATATCTGACTTTGCAATAAAAATAAATGAATCTTTAAAAAATTCTGAAAAGTACAAATATTTTGAACACATAATTCCTCAATTTAGACATTTATAATGTTATTCTGTAACTGTTGAAACATATTTCATAAATGTGTGGAAGCAAGTAAATAATCAAAATAGAATGTGGTCTAAGATTTACCCAATGCCATGGCACATCAGTCTAAGCCTCAGAGCTGGCATTCCATATGGGTACCAGTTCAAAACTCAGCTGCTCCATGTCCAAGCTAGCTCCCTGCTTATTGCATGGGAAAGCAAGCAGTATAGGATGGTCAAGTTCTGGGGCCCCTGCGTCCAAATGGAAGACCTGGAAGAAGCTGTCTCTGCCCTTGGGTGTGCAAGCTCCAGCTGTTGCAGCCATTTGGGGAGTGACCTAGATTATAAAAGATCTTTCTCTCTCCTCTCTCTTTCTCTGTAACTCTAACTTTCAAATAAATAACTACATCAACAACAACAGTATATCCATCTATTCCTCTGAATGCATTTATTTGATTACCTTGAGATACACATCTGTTCTGGTCTCATGATTGACTTAGATAAACAACTTTAGTCTTTAGGAAATGTTCTATGTATGATAAACAAATCCTTGGAAAAAAAATAATTAAAATTCAGAGGAGGTGTGCCAAATGTATTCATAGACAGAATACTCTGAGTTGCTTGAAAGTAAGTGGCTGGTAAGATGGGAAATTCTTTTTCTTCTTCTAAGATTTATTTATTTTATTGCAAAGTCAGAGATATACAGAGAGGAGGGGAGGCAGAGAGAAAGATCCTTTATCCGATGATTCACTCCCCAAGTAACCACAAAGGCCGGTGCTGCAGCAATCTGAAGCCAGGAGTCAAGAACTTTCTCCAGGTCTCCCACATGGGTACAGAGTCCCAGGGCTTTGGGTTGTCTTCAACTGCTTTCCCAGGCCACAAGCAGGGAGCTGGATGGGAAGTGGAGCTGCCGGGATTAAAACCGGCACCCATATGGGATCCAGGCATGTTCAAGGCGAGGACTTTGACCACTACACTATCGTGCCGGGCCCCGGGAAATTCTTCCTGGGCTACGCAGAGAATGAATGTACAGAGGATAACACTGGAGTCAGGGAAATTGCTGCAGAGAGTGACATTATTAATTTGGTCTGAAAATTTGCTAGTGTTAATGACCAAAGGCAGATTTGTGAAAATACAGGTGAAACACAACGGACAAATGAGCTGGTTAGTGAGAAACAAGTATATAATTGCTTCATCCTATTGTTGAGTTTGGATGACTGTGTTTGTAGACGGTACAGACACATTGTAATGAGGTTTTCAGAAAACTAACATAGAAGGAGGTTTCCTTCCACTGATAAGAAATGTGTGCAAAAATTGTGGATAACATTGTGCTTAGTAGCTTTCCTGCTATGTTGAAGAACAAGGCTGGGGGAATCACCCCTCCTATGTCTTTTCAATATTGTACTGGAAGAGTTAACTAATGAAATAAAAGGAGAAAGGGAAGAAAAGTGTTCTGGACTGCACTGTATCATTTGCACATTGAAGCCTGAACGCCCAGTCTCAGAATGTGACTGTACTGGGAGTTAGGACTAAATACAATAAAAAGAGGGCCATACGGTAGATTTAATTCAGCCTCCTAGGTGTTCATAGCAGAAGAGAATGCACGTATAGGGAAGAGCAGGGGCGCATGTTTGAAGAGGGTCAACCATGTGAAGGATTGACTAGTAACCACCTTGGAACCAGGCAGAGGCTTAAAGGGAAACAACCCTGATTGCACATTGGTTTTGGACTTCAGTTTCCTTAACTATCAGAAACAGAGATTCTGTTGTTTAAGATATTCAGTCTGTGGTCATGTGATATAGAAACCCTAGAAAGCTCATGCTAAATATTGGCACTGATTATGAAGAAAGAAATGGAACAATCCTTTTGGGCAAGGAGCATGATCAGTAATATAGAAAATCCAAAATAATCAACAACAGAAAGCCCTATAGCTCATGATTGATTATAAATCAAGGTAGCCTGATACCAAGTTAATATACAAAGGTCAATTTGTTTTTTATAAATCAGCATTGAATAAGGAGAATTTGAAATTAAAACTGGCTGTAGGTGGCATGAGCAAGTCAGAAGACTAGGAAGTTCTCATTCTATTTCCCCTGTAAAGACACAAATCTAACAGTTGCCGATGGACAAAAATACCATTGTGAAGATTACACAATTCAGTTACAAGGTTTTAGTATCTCCAAGTCACCCTAAGGGCAAGAATAGTTGATAGAAATGTGTAAGAGAAACAATTTCATTCTCCATGTATTAGATACTGCTCTAAGTGGACCCAGCAGGATAACAAGAACGCATCTTGCCTTGTGACTCCTCACTTGCAGGAAAAGCTAACAGTCATGTGCTCGTTCAATATGTTCTCAGAGGGTTGCATGAGGAGCCAAGTTCTTCCCTGCTCCACTTGGAGTGCTTGCCGGAACCAGCGTAGACTGGACACTTGGAAGCCTTCTGAAAATTTGAAAGAACAGTGGGTGTGGAGGCTTTCTGTAGGCAGCAAGGCAAGCCGTTGTCAGGACAAAGCACACTGTCTGAGCCTTCACCATCCGAAGGGACCAAGTATGGAGTGCACACAGTACAACATGTGTCCTGCATTCTGGCTGTTGGGGAGGCTTCCTAAGAGTCTGTTTTCAGTCTGGCCTTATTAGGGTTCGAATTGTGGCAGCATCCTCTGATGAGTAGTGATGCTTAAATCAAGGCAGAAGAGGGCATGTTGCAGTGGTGACACAGGGAAATGACATGAGAGTTACTGTATTGTAATGACAGAGCAACAGGTTACAAATTCCTAAAAACCAAATCGTCAAGTCTCTCAGAGACTAGACTCATTAGATCCCCTGCAAAAATTGTTCCTATGCCTCCAAATCGTACATCAAGCCCGTTGGTGGCATTCTTCCTTTGCGAAAAGCCAGTCTGTGAAGGCCAGAAGAGACAGACTTTTGTCAAATGTATGGATTGCAACACAATGCTACAAATCACATTGAGAAAAAAGAAGAAAAGGTTCGGAGGAAAAAATAGATCCGAAAGTAAAATGAAGATATCAATAAAGAGACAGAAAACATCAGAAGGAACTAAATAGGAATTTGGGGATTTAAGGGTATAACAGCTGAAGTGAGGAATTCCCTTGAGAGATTGGATAGCAGATTTCACTAAGCAGAAGAAACAGTTAGAAAACTCAAGAGCACTACCCTCAGAGGAGCAATAACAAGAGCAAAAAGTAACAAAGACAGTCTGAAAGATTTTTAGATTCAGAGAAGTGGAGATTATATACGTATTATTATGGTTCAAGCAGGAGGATAGAGAGTGCAGAAAACTTTTAAAAATAGTGTTATAAAATCGGCACTTTTAAAAAGGGAAATGAATATTTGCATTCAATCATCAAAACAGGTTCCAACAGTGATGATGCTATTATTTCTTCCTATTAGTAAACAATTAATAGTAATTAATATAATTTTGCCTCCACATTGATGATATAATTGGCATTATCAATAAAAAGTTCAGCTCTCCTTT